TTGTTGAACTGTTTTAGAGCTTGGTTTCTTTCATGAATAAGGTGGAGGATTTCTCCTGTCATCCAGGGGGCCGAATCGTATTTGATATGCATTTCCCTGAGAGGAGCAATTTCATTAATGCATGCCAAAAATTTGGTTTTGAAATTACCCCATGCCTCATCAATGTCTTGACTGTCCAGTACATCAGACCAGTTGACAGAATCAAGTTTAGAATGAAATTCTCTTTAGTGTAGTTTTTGAGAGAACGAAGCTTAACATTCTTATGTTTGTTAAAAGTAAACTTTTTGACCTTGCGAGTGCAGTATATTAACATATGATCACTGAGTCCACATTCAATAACACCAGACTGGCTAATTTTATGAGGGTCAGACACCATAATGAGATCCAAAAGAGATGAACTTGTATTGGTTACCCAAGTTGGGCTACAGATGAGTTGGTGCATGTCAAACATTGACATAAACCGTTGAATTTGATCAAATAGTAGAGAAAATGTATTCCTCGAACTACTGATACTGTAGTCTGTGTTAAAGTCACCAAGTAATATACACTCCGAGTCAGAAAAGTTCAAACAGTTACCACAAGATTCTTCGAGCTGATGGTAGAAGTCTTTATCTGTAGGCGGCCGATAGCAGACTCCCACGAGGATGGGCTTTATCTTTGGAAGGTAGAGCTCAATCCAGGTGGTTTCACTGGCACCTTCAATGTCTCTGCGGGGCCTAAATGTCAGGCACGAGCGGACGTACACGCAAACCCCACCTCCTGTGCAGCACCGGTCATGTCTCTAGATCTGATAGCCAGGAATTTCCACCTCAGGATCAGACACTGAATCGTCGAGCCATGTCTCAGTGATTGCGATGACCGCAGGGTGACAATGGGAGGCGATGACTCGCAGTTCATCCAGTTTGGGGAGAAGACTCCGACTGTTAACATGGATAAAGTGGAGGCCCTTTGCGGTGAAACTGTCCCAGTCAAATTCAGATGGGTCGTAGCAGTGATGTCTGGCGCTGGGTTAGTAGCATCTGGAGTGAGGGCACTCAAGTCTGGTCTTGATGCAGGATCTCCGGAACCTGGGTCACTGCAGCTTGGACAGCACCAGGGGTCGTCACTCTCTGCTAGCCTGTTATAGGTGGGTAGGTCTATGCTGATGAACCGACAATGTACCCACAGATCACACACATCGCACTGTATAGCTCGCTGGTTAGTACGTACTGGTTTGCCACAGTCACTGCAGGGGAACTTGATTGGGCCGGGGTTAGGGTGAGAATCACCAGCCAGCAGAATGAGGATAAAAGCGAGGTACAAGTTCGTTTTTACCCGACGCCATGTTTGTTTACATTTGATAATGACCTTGACTTTCTGTGGTCGCCCGGCGTCGTTAGTTATCATGTTCAGCAGAGTCAACTTTGTAGTCCATGATATTATCACTTTGGCGTCAAAAATATCAAGAATAGTCCTGTGCTTCGGATCTATGTATCCTGATTTAACGTTTACAACACTAAGATTTTCAAACTTAGGCAAAAAACTGCATAATACTGACGAAAATGTCAGAGCGATCAAAATTCCTGTCATGCCCGCCATTCTCATTGTTCAAAAATTCACCTCTGAAAAAAGGTGTAAAAACACTTCGATAAAAAGTGTAACACACTTCGATGAGTTGGCTAGCTGTATTACAGTTACAATGAAGCCATCAAGCCAGCAATCTACATGACCTGACGTTAGGTTAACCAACAGCAAAATCAACACCAAGTTAGCTAGCAAATTCTATCAACACAATCAATTTCGCTAACTGACAATAAAACAACACAGCAGCATCCGCCGTGTGTGAACTTCAACCAGCTAACTTCAACATTACGGCCAGTACAGCTGAGAGCTGGTTTGAATTAACTAAGTAACAAGACTGGTTTTCAGGAAATTAAGTCGAAGAGTTTACACTGACAATGCTGACTGTTTCTAAGTACTGATAATTCAGTTCAAACCAAGTACAAACCCAAAACCAGTGAAGTTTTTAAAAACAGAATACAATGATTTGCAAATCCTTTTCAACTTATATTCAATTGAATTCATCTTACTTAGTATATTCATCTTTCATTTTTTGCAGTGAAGACAACATATCAGATGTTGAAAGTGAGATATTTTACCATTTCATGAAAAATATTAGCTCATTTCAAATTTGATGGCAGAAACACATCTCAAAAAAGTTGGGACAGTGCTGTGTTTACCATTGTGTAACATCCCCTATTCTTTTAACAACAGTCTGTAAATGTCTAGGAAATGAGGAGACCAATTGCTGGAGTTTTGGGAGAGGAATGTTGTCCCACTCTTGTCAGATGTAGGATTCTTGCTGCTCAACAGTCCTGGGTTTTCTTTGCCAAATTTTTTGTTTTATGATGTGCCAAATGTTTTCTATTAGTGAATGGTCTGGACTGCAGGTTGGCTGGTTCAGCACTCTGTTGTGATGGATGCAGTATGTGGTTTAGCATTGTCTTGCTGAAATATGCAAGGCCTTCCCTGAAAGAGACATTGTCTGGATGGGAGCATATGTTGTTGAAAAACCTCTATTTGCTTTTCAGCATTGATAATGCCTTTCCAGATGTATAGGCTTTTGAACTGTGCGCTGGTAACAATCTGCATGGTCCCTCTCCTCTTTAGACTGCACGACACGGCATCCGTGGTTTCCAAAAAGAATTTCAAATTTTGATTCATCTGACCACAGGACAGTTTTACAGTCTGCTTCAGTCTGTTTTAAATGAGCTTTGGCCCAGAGAAGACGGCAGCGTTTCTGGATCGTGCTCACATATGGCTTCTTCTTTGCATGATACAGCTTTAACTTGCATTTGTAGATTCCAGGGCGAACTATGTTCACAGACAATGATTTCTGGAAGTGTTTCTGAGCTCATGCAGTGAATTCCAGTGCAGAATCATGCCTGTTTTTAATGCAGCGCTGCCTGAGGGCCTTAAGATCACGAGCATCCAATATTGACCTTTGGCCTTGTCCTTTGCTCACAGAGATTTCTCCAGATTTTCTGAATCTTTTGATGATATTATGTACTTTAGATGGTGGGATATTCAAAGTCTTCGCAATTTTACACTGAGGAACATTTTGAAATTGTTCCGCAATTTTAATATGCAGTTTTTCACAGATTTGTGAACCTCCGTCCGTCTTTACTTCTGAGAGACTCTGCCTCTCTAAAATGCTCTTTTTATGCCCAGTCATGTTACTGACCTGTTGCCAGTTAACGTAATTAGTTGCAAAATGCTTCTCCAGCTGTTTTTTATTAGTACCACTTACTTTTCCAGCCTTTTATTGCCCTTGTCTCAACTTTTTTGAGACTTGTTGCTGCCATCAAATTCAAAATGAGCTAATATTTTTCATGAAATGGTAAAATGTCTCATTTTTAACATCTGATATGTTGTCTATGCTTTATTGTGAATAAAATGTGGGTTTATGAGCTTTGCATATCATTGTATTCTGTTTTTATTCACGATTTACACAAAGTCCCAACATTGAAATTGGGGTTTGTAGGTAGCTAATGTTTTATATTGATTGGCTATGTGATGGTAGACCTGCGTCTACTGGCAACCAGGCTAATATGATTAAAAAATGCAATTCCACTTCTGAGACAATATCTCTCCCATTATAGCATATTTCCACTACCTCCTTCTTTCTTCACTTCGCTTGTAAGTTTCGTCAACGTGGTTAAAAATAATAATCTGGGTTTTATAATAAAAAGATGTTTTACGATCCCTGGTACAGCAAAAAATAATACATTTTCACAATGAAAGAACCACAAGCTTGGGAAGAAAAATGGCTAAATACTTTCTGTGGTCTGGCGATGAGGTCACATGAATACAACATATAAGCAACAGAGATGCGGCAGCACTGGTCATGAGGAGAAAGCTCACCATGGTGTTGATTTTTCCATTCTCAGTGCTCATGCTGTCTCTGTGGTGAAGGTTGGCGAAGGGCTTGGCGGCACCCCAGGACTCCAAGTAGCGGGTCATCCTGACCGATGCCCTCATTTTGGCCCCATTCAGTGAGTTCCTGGGACGACAGCTGAGCAGTGGACTGCGCCTCTCTGCCTGCAGTCAAAATTCAGTAAAGCTTCACCCTTGTTGGACCAAAGCCACAGTCTCCACTACGAGGCCAATTTCTACCTGTGAACGCAACTCAGTTAGGCCTCACCCTCTTTAGGACCGAGCTACAGTCTCCACCACTGAGCCAGTGTCTGACTGCGGTGATGACTCAGTCAGGCCTCACCCTCATTAGACCTAAGCCACAGTCTCCACTATCAGGTCATTGTCCATTGGGTAACTTGGTTTCCTAGCCAACTGCTCTCTTAGTGATGTACAGGAGTCAAATGTACAATCTTTAAATACCTTAGGGAGCATATTCTCTGCCTCTGCTACACTGTTTCTTGCATTCAACTACAACACCTTTCCCTCCAGCTGCATATACGTAGCTGCACCGATTTTGCCTACACAGTATTTGTCCTATTTTTTGTATCTATATGTCTTGTTGATTACGCAGTTCAGCAGGACAATTACAGTGCCATGAACAAGTATTTGCCCCTTCCCGATCTGTTCTATTTAATTATTTTTTTTTATTTGCCATATTTAGATACTTCAGATCATCCAACTTATTTTAATACAAGACAAAGAAAATGTGAGCAAACACAAAGCAGAGCGTTTAAATGATCATTATATTTATTTAAGGTAAAGAGTAATTCAAAACCTTTATCACCTACGTGAAAAAAATAATTGACCCTCTAAACCTTATAACTGGTTATGCCAGCCTTGGCAGTAACAACTTGACAGCAATCAATTTTTTTTTGCGATAACAGACAAGGAGTCTTTTACATTACGTACTCTGGAGAAATTTTGGCCCGCTATTCTTTGCAGAATTATTTTAGTTCAGCCACATTGAAGTGGTTCAACCATGGACTGCCTGTTTCAAGTCATGCCAGAGCATCTCAATCGGATTCAAGTCAGGACTGACTAAAGGTGCCGGATAGCTCACTCGGTTAAAGCATCGCATTGCGAAGCAGAAGTGACTATCATGGCGCGGGTTCGAGCCCCGGTCGTACCATCTGGCGGTGGTCGGCAGCTTTTTTAGAAGTAGCGCGCAATTGGCCAATGCGCTACAGGGATGCAAATTGGGAAGGGTCTGCTGGGAAGGGTAAAAAAAAAGTTACTTTGTTCGTTCCTTAGGCGCCTCCTGTTGGCTCGTCAGGAAAATTCTAAGCTTGTTCATGTTCGGGTATCCTCCGCCCTTGTTCTGAATTTGCGACGATTCAACCAATGAGTGTATAAGAAGCAGTGGCTGACAGGCGCGTGCTTCGGAGGAGAGCCGCGAACTGTCTTCACTCTCTTGAATTGGCAACAGGGGGTCGCATATGCGAAAGCCTTGTACATAGTTCCCCAATTGGACATTCCAGATTCGGGTGGGATTGGAGATGCCAAAATACTTAAAAAATAAATAAATAAAGAAAAAAGAAAAAAAAGTCAGGACTGACTAGGCTACTCAAACCTCCATTTTGTTTGTTTTGTGCCATTCAGAAGTGAACTGCTTGTTTGCCTCAAATCATTTCTCTACTGTATAACCTACCTGAGCTTAAGGTTACGAAACTGATGGACGGACATTCTCCATCAGGATTTTCTAGTAGAAAGCAGAATTCATGGTTCCATCAATTCTGACAAGTCGTCTAGGTCCTGAGGCAGCATTGCCCCAGATCATCACACTTCCACCACCCAGTTTGACTGCTGATATGTTCTTTTTGTGGAATGCTGTGTTAGCTTTACGTCAGATGAAACGGGACCCATGTCTTCCACAAACTTCCACTTTTGACTCATTAGCCCACGAAAAATTATCCAAAAAGTCTTGAGTATATTGAGATATTTTTTTTTTTTGGCAAACGTGAGAAGAGCTTTTGTCTTCTCCATTGGTCAGCAGTGGTTCTTGCCTTGCAACTCTCCCGTGGATGCCATTTTTGCCCAGTCTTTTTCTTATTGTGAACACCGACATCAACTGAGCCAAGTGAGCCCTGCAGTTCTGTAGAAATTACTCTGGGTTCTCTTGTGACCACTCCCATGCATTTTTTGTGGAATTTGGTGGGCTTGCCACTTCTGGGAAGGTTCCCTTCTGTTCCAAGTTTTCTCCGTTTGTAGTTAATGGCTCTTACTGTGGTCCGCTGGATTCCCAAAGCCTCAGAAATGCCTTTGAAGTCTTTTACAGACTGTTGGATATCATTGACTTTGTTTCTCATCTGTTCTTAAATTTCTTGGATTTCAACATCATGTGCTGCCTTTTTCCTACTTGACATTGCCAGAAAGGTTCTATTTGAGTGATTTTTAGATTCAGCAGGGATGGCAGTAATCATGCCTGGGTGTGTCTAGTAAAACTGAACCCAATTACCAGTTAAATTTGTTTAATTGTTTGATTTAGGAACTTAGGGGACAATTACTTTTTCACATCGGGCCGGGTAGGATTGGATGGCTTTTTGCCTTCAATAAATGAAATCATCATTTAAAAATAGTGCCATGGACATCGAAACTCATTTGGTTTATATTAGGCTTAGTATTATGTAAGCTCACAAGTGGCAGTATTTTTTATGCGTGGGTCCAACATTGGGACAATAAAGACACCTTTCATAATTTGTGTAGGAAAAAAAAAACAAATATAACCTCAAGCAGTAGTTATGAGGTCCAAGTAAGATGAGGTAATCATCAGTTTGAAGCACAGAGGACACAATTGAATAAGGTTTTCAAATGATTTCCACTTCATGGCAGATAACTGTGCATGGTATACTTTGCCCTGCAAATTTCAGGTTGATTAATCATTGCTGTCTTTGAAATACAGTTGCAGCTGTTACCTGATTGACAAATAGCAGCCAGACAATTAAAGATTTATTTTGCTCATTCAAAAGACTATTTGATCCTCATACAGGGATGCAATATGCAAAATTATAACTATTAAGTCAAATGGTTGAAAACAAATATGCAATTTTACATTGTTTTTCTTACTACAGCGCCACATATTGAGCAGTTGGATTCAAATTTGATGTACCTCTCTATTAGCTTGACTCCGCCAGCCTTCATACTTCCACTTAATTTCATTTCGCTTCAGTAATCAGTCTGGTCACTCGGAGCTCTGCCTCGTTTACCTCGGCAGAAAGTCCGCCGGACCAACCAACGAACAGAAGATGTGGCCAAGAGCCATGATGTAGCAGCTGCGCCGAGTTTGAAATTGTAGTCTCCGAAATCAACAATGGCCACGGACATAGATACACGGGAGGCCATTCGCTCTGTCGTGGAGAAAATCCCGGGTATCAGCGACTTATAGCTACAACAAGATGAATGTTTGGTTAGTTTTTTGAATGGAAATGATGTTGTAGCGCTACTCCCAACAGATTGCCATATCTACTTAATAGCCATCATGAAATAGGCACCCTGTTCATCTCTGTGAGAGACAGCCAAACCACCTCAGCTAGCTTGTAGCTTCTAGTGTTTCATTGCTCGCGAATTTCACACTATTTAAGTTAGCAGTGAACTTTTTAAAAGCCATGTTTTTGTTCGTGTCACAAGACCTATTCGCTGTCTCAGTGTTATGTTATCATTATCCGTGAATGAAATGGCTGTCTGAGACAGCCAAACGCTGAGAGCCAAACTGTGTTGCTATAAAGGTAGATAGCGAGCTCGGTATGATGTTAGCGCAAGTATGGTTAACGATTCAGTTTTCGTGTCAACACACATTTTATCCTGATGTAAATAATGCGTTATTCTCGTCGATTCTGCCGTTGGTTTCGGGTCTCTAAGGTTTTTTTTAACAGCAGCAGTATCTGCAGGAAAAATGATAGCTCAACAGTTTGTTTCTTGTAAGGAGAACAGAAAGAGCACCTTTGGTTCTTTTAAGTGAATGAGTGAAGGCTAAAATTTGGTAGATGGGCATATGTATGGGTACAGTATTAACTTTAATGTACTGATCAGTTTGTTTTCGCTGCATTCCTGGTATGAAGGACTGTGTTTACAGCAGATGTACTAGGCAGCTGAGCCGGCGCATAACATACGTCATCGCCCAACGTTAGTGATTAGTCTATGGATACGCCAATGCTTTTAAACTTCAGGCAAGCGCCCACCCACCAGGAAGTAAACACTTGTCAATGACGACTGGCCAGACTCTGTGTACGAAGCAAAGCGAAGTAGCAGAGTCTGGTTTTACCAGGCTACCTCTCTATAGCGCCGGCAATCGAAGTAATTGCATTAAGACCACCCTTTTACACATCCTTAAAGGGGACCTATTATGCTGATCCTTCTTTTAATATATATAAGTAATGTCATAATGTTGGATGTCCATACTCAACCTCTGAAAAGTTTCTAAACATAAGATACAGGGATTTTGCCGTAATCCAAGAAAGTGATTTCGTGAATGTGATTTCCTCTCTGAACAGCTCCTCCTGAGATCTTCACGAGATCTGGGCAAAACCTGACGTCAGGTTGTGCCATCCAATTAATACAGACCTAGCCAGAGCCAATCACGGCGCTGGACCTGCCCACACCGGAAACTATTCTAGCAGGCACAAACAACCGTGGATCATACTATGCCTTAGTAGCATCTACACTTCCAGAAATACAAAAGAAGAACTGCAGATCATTTGAGGTGCAGTTTTGTCAGTATCTCTCCCAAAGCTGCTTGTCTGTTTACTTTTGGACGCAAAGAAAAACACCTATTTCTCTTCCAAAAGACGATGCCACCAGAAATCAGTGGGTAGTTTTTTTTTTGTTTTCTGGCAGCAAACAGCCACGGCCATAGGGAACGTTAGCATTTTGTGCTCAGCATTTCACCAAAGACAGCTTTGTCAATAAAGGATAATTCAACGCTGGATAAGCGTTTCAGCTGCTACTCAAACCTGGAGCAGTTGCATCGATCAAGTGCTCAGAGCCACAAGCTGTAAATAACGATGTAACAGCAAAATAATAAGTGAAGCTAATGTGTTACGGGTGGCTAGCAGGACCGCTAACGATAGTTAGCACTAACAACTGGCCTCAAATGCAGGCTTTGTAAAATATCTGAAGATAAAGCCTGTATCGGTCGCGACTGTCCGTGACTCACAGATGCCGAAGCTGTAAGTTGCTTTTACAGCATAAGCCAACCTGATGTGATAGCCAGTTGATTGTGGCTGTAGCACTGTGGCTAACGTAGCCAAGTTACTGTTGCTAATGTTTGTGTCCTAAATATGCAAGAGTGGTATCAGGGGAAATTCTACAGAAGGTGTGTGAACATAAACCTCATTTGAAGTCAACTTTTAATACTTGTTTGTAATTTGGATGCTTGGTACAACTGTCCACGGTAACGGAACTTGCTGTCTGTAAAACCTGTATTGCAAGGGTTTATCTCTGTGGTTGTTATGACGGCTCGGTTACCAGCTACTGCACGTTAGTTCGCGTGCTGTGCTAATTAAAAATGCTCCTGGTTAACTTATATGTAGTAATTCTGATCGTAATGCTTGTGTCACTTCGGTAAGCATCAATGAGGCAGTTTCATCATAACTTTGCCCGATTGTAGCCACTACAGTTGAAGCTAACCGGACAGGTGCTGTATGTGTCTGCAAAGTTGGGCTGAAAAGGCTGCAGTTAGACCAGACAGAGGTTTGCTGCTTGTGATCGCTTTACTTATCCATGACCGAGGTCAGCTGGATACTTCGTCAATATCTGGGCTAGCTCTGATACCACCGCGGTGAAAGCAATGCGAAATGCACAAGCTCTAACGTGTCTGGTATAACAAATGATTTCTCTTGTGGCATAATTTCATCCCCCTTTAGAAATTGTTCTGGCTAATAAAAACCGAAAAAGCCAGAGATTGAATAGGAAATTCTTTCCTGTATAAGTGATTGATTCACTAGCTCCACATAAGCAACTGTTCACGCTAACTGTACGGTCTGTAAAACCTGTATTATGCTCATAACATAACCGAGCTCTCGATAGCTGTCACGTACTAGCCATAAAGCTGCTTTCACATCGGACGCGAAACATTTCTCGCGTGACAGATTACATTCAAAGTCAATGCAAAGACGCGAATACACGCGTTATGAG